AGAAAGGTAGGTATGGCAATTTATTTTGAAAAAAAAATGATATTACATCTATTAAGAATTGTTTAAATTTAGGATATTGAGTCAGAAGAGAGTGAATCGTTTACTTCATTAGCAACTACCATATCCAAAAAAAAAAAGCGAATACCTAAACTTAATGATCTTGATGCAGATGAGCTACGCATTGCTGAAACGATAACCCTGTTACGTAAAAAGTATCATTGTACACCACACGATCGACCATGTTATATTCAAAATTATCATTATCTCAGATTGACACTATTGCATCTTCGACTTTGGGCTTATGAAATTGTAAGATAACAGTCTTTCATACAAATCTTTTTAATTTTATAACTTATAAGTTGCTTTATTTTGTAGTTGCATGAAGGATCAATAGAAAATCCACCAACGCTATCACTATTTGGCATGAGCTCCAGTAAAAAACTACATATACCACCGCAGCCTACTCAACAGCCATATCTATCTCTACAACCCCAGTACTATGCATATATCCCACCTTATCCCTCTCTTCCACCATTATCTCCGCAATCTCACTCAGCTGTTTCATCGCCTCTAAAGAAAGTACCATCAATGAAAAAGTTTCTGAATGAACTTGATGAAACATATGGAGAAGGCACTTACACACACTTTGAAACTTCTTTCATGGAACAGGAAATGCTGGTTCAATTCATTTCTGAACTTACTGATACTGATTTCGAAAAATTAGGTATCGAGAAAATCAGATGGCAAAAAGTCTTGAGACGGGCTGCATCAAAATATTGTCGTGGATAAAATAGAGGTAGTGTTGTTGTGGGAAAATGATAGGAAATTAAGGCGTGGGAAATTTAAGAGGTGGGAAGTTTCTAGAGTAGTGTAGACATGCAAATAACAGGCGCATGTATAAATACATGCGAAATCCGATAGCATGTAATTAATTTTAATAAAGTAATGTTCAAGTATAAACTTTTACCTTGTGTTTAGTGTGCGCCAAAGACTTGTAACTTGGGCTACGCGACTACAAGAGAGAACTGAAAATTGCCTAAAGGAATTGACATAGAGAAATTAAGTGAAATCGGAAACACGTCTCAAGAGTTAAAAACTTACCTTATTGTGATCAAACCGTAACGATTCGTAGTGTGGGCTCCTGGATAGCCTGTGACATTTGGTAATGAACCGTGAGATTCGAACATTAATAATTCTAAAACAATGTTCATTTACCCTCCCCCCCGATAAATTAAGACAAACACCATATTAGTAAGAGCGTTGATCATAATTAACAAACTTTAATTTAAACACTTACCTTTTCTGACGAACCCGTGATAAACCCGTGATGATCCTGATCGACGATGTTGAATGACGATGCAATTGAAATCTTACAAGAACTAGTAGAAGCCCTTACCAGCTTTGAAAAAAATGGAGAGGTTCGGTAGATTAATATACCTAAATTCAAAGGTAAAAAAGGAGAAGACCCGTATTCCTGATTAGATGCATACGAAAAGGACACAAGGACCAATGGTTAGACAAGTGCACAAAAACTAAGATATGTAACAGATTACCTGGAGGGACGTGCAGCAGACTGGTACAAAGTCTGCCAGAACCACCTTGAGCACTGGAACCACAGAGGCGACCGAAAGAGAAGCTTTGTGCCAGCCTTACTTCTATGCTTTGTAACGCTTGAGCAGCGATGGCAGTGGCTGTCAGAGCTCACAGAGCTGAAGCAAGGTGAGGATGAGAAAGTGGCATCATATGCTTGTAAGTTTTGGAACCTGCTGAGAAGAGTCGACCCCGACGATGGTGAATCTGGAAGGGATGAAGTAAGAGCGTTCGTAAGAGGCTTGAGAGAGGAAATCACATCAGCACTTGCCATCAAGAGAGACGCCATGTTGGACGAGACGATTGGAGAAGCAAACCGGGTCGAAGAGCATATGGAGCATGGGCCGTACAAGACAAATCCAGAACTAACGAAGGGACAAGGTAAGACCATACTGACAAAGAGACAAGACGAGGGTGCACCAGAAGGAGAACCAATGATGCTGCCTAACGAGAACCACAAGGAAATCGACACCAAGGAAAAACCGAACTCGGAATCTGCTAGCCAAACGAATGAGAATATGACCTCGGTTAATGCAAGACGAGAGCGAGAAGAGACGAAGACAGCATCACCATCACTATTAGGAGAAAAAGGAGAACCAATGGGGATAAATCTAAGGAAGAGGATCAAGGGGGTATCACAGCACCGATGGAGGAAACTACATGAACTCCGTCATACACTTACCCGCAAGGTGGGAACCACCAAAACCACCTGATGAGAATTCGAAGGAAGAACCTACGACATCACCTGGCAAGAGTCACGATAAGAATGGACCGAACATGGAGCCTACCTACAAGAATGATAAATCTGAGTATGATAAAAGTAGGCTAGTCGGTAGAGAAGTTAAGTGAGAGGATGGCCAAATCGGAAACATGCCTCAAGAGTTAAAGACTTACCTTATTGTGATCAAACCATAATGATTTGTAGTATGGGCTCCCGAACAGCCCATGACAATATGCACAGTGATCAATTTACGTTTCTGGCTTCGACTATTATATGTTAGGCATAGATTATATCATTTATCTTTTTTATTATATTTCAGTATTAAGAATAAAGTGATTTATTGAAATATCATTTTGCCATTTCTGGCGTAATTTGTGAACATGCAAGAAGTAATGGATAAATGTGATCACTGCAAGTGTGTACAAAATCATTGTTTCGTTGGAGCCAAGCTTTGATGGTTGAAAATGCTAATTCGATTGGGTTAAAATCAGGGGAATATGGTGATAGGAATAAGATATGACCCCCAAGTTCCTCTATAACAGAAATCCATTCAGCATTGTGATGGATCCTGGCATTATCCATAACCAGAACACTATTTTTGCCAGGAAACGGATTCATGTGAGGTATCTACAGCATAATAACATCAATATGTCAATACAATGATAATATTTACAAGAGCCTTGAACAGAGCAAGCCATATACCACTTGAGTATATATGAAATCTTCAAACTTTTTCTTATCATAGCTCCTCTCAATGATCTCAACAGCAACAATCCCATCAATTGTTAAAGCTGGTAGTATCGTATAGCGTTTATCCCTAACAAACATTACCTTTGACTGAGCTTTTGTACCTATATAAGAGTATCCATATCTACAGGAGAGTGTTCACTCATCTTTGGCACTTTCATCAAGAAACACAAATTGCTCAGGTACATAACCATTCCCGATTTTTGCAATAAATGCACTACGTAACAACTCATTTCTCTCTGCTGCCATTGTATGTATCTTGATAGTAGGATGTTAGCTAAAGTCACAACATATTTGACAAATACAATAAAACATCAAATACCTTCTTCCGTGTAATTCTGCAATATTTCAACGAGTGCCACAGTATTGGAATTGATACTCGCTTGCTTGTTATTGCTTCCATTTCCACTACCAATTCATCCAAATACCAGTCTACTCTTTCCTTTACCAGTTTTTTCGGATTCTGTTAATGAGATGTGTGTTAAAGTTTATAAAAATAATGAAAAATCCAATAAAAATCTGCTAAAGACCTTCATGTCACTGTCTTTGAACAGCTTCTTGCGACCAGAAGCACCCTTAAAAGGGTTCTCTATACAATTTCATCTCCTAAAATTCCTTAAAGTCTTGCAGACACCTGAATAGCTCATATAAAGCAGTTTACTAATTCGTCGTTTACTATATCCGTCTTGATGCAAATATACTATTCTCCACTTCAAGTCTTCACTAAATAAATGCCCCATACCTAAAAATAGCATTTATAGAAGAATACAATTTGAGAACTTTTTATAATTACTTGAAGGTGAAGTGTAATCAGCTGTAATCGTCTATAATCGTTTGTAATCACTTGTAATCACCTAGTAATCACCCAGTAATCAGTTTGTAATCGTTTTGCAATCTTGGATTCCACTCTCGTAAAGGAAGTTATAACTTGGCACACTGGTCTCTGCAAGTTGAAAAAAGGTTAAGCAATCATGAAAAGCAAGACTTGTATTAACTATACCTATAGAATTTCTTATAATCCACAAAAATTCATTTTTTTTTGTCCCGTGAGCAAGGTGGGACAGCATTTTGAAAATGGCAATAATACAAAAAGTTTTAAAAAAAATTAATAATAAATTAAAACAAGTAAATTATAATATAAAATAAAACACTCTTTTATTTAATATACAGTATATACTATTAATAGAGATCTGATATAGGACATAATCACATAAACATATTTCAGTACATCATATATTCTAATTTGCAATAATTAATAACTTATGGTCTATAGTAACATGTAAAACCATGATATGATTTTAAAGATGCTTTTGTTTTATAATGCTAATAAGGCCTTGCCATTTAGTTTATTATACTTATCAAGTTAATACAATATTTGTTTTACAAATTTAATTATGACTCATGTACATTTTTAGAAAGTGAAAACTAAACAGTTCAATATTATTTTCATAAACCCTGTAACCTTCTGTGTCACCAAAAAGATATTAGTGTATCAAAAAGACATTACTAGCACTATTAATTTAGTAAAATTATTGCTTTATTTGAAGGAAATTTTTTAAAAGAAAATAAAGGAAACGAATTGAAATAATATCCTGTTTTATAGCAAATAAAGCAATTATATAATTAATTACCCTATTTGTTTTCATTAAAACTCTCATTATTTACTATCACCTGTAGTTGAGTTAACCATTTAATTTCTTACCAGCCTAAATATTGCCTAAGAATATTCAAGACAAACTTATAACTGGTTCTTATTGCCTAAACTATAACTTATTTTATATACAGAGTAGGTCTTATGCCAGATGCCATTTTAGAATAAGCACTACCAGACTGGTTTGTTATTGGATTGGAATAAGACCTAGGTAGAAATCTGCAGAAAAAAATACTGGATATTAAGGGGTGATCACCAAACCTGCTTGTTGAAAACAGATATCTCATACACCTTGCAACTTCTAATAATCATCATAACACCAACCAGATAATTGTTGTGCTATAACACCTTTTCTGGAAATCACAATATCAATGCCTACTGGATTAGCATGTGAAATAGCTTCTCATGAGAAACAATACTTTTTTACAGGTTGTAATATCAGATATATTATTAATTCTATTTAACCATCTTTACATAGGATTGAACTGGTATCTTGTAATTTGACCTGTGGAGTATTAACCACTACACTATAGACCCACAGGTTAGAATTTTACAAAAGCTTAAATTAGCCATAACCTTAAATAGCTTATTAATTACAAATAATCCATCAAAGCTTAATGAGAATTGCATAACATAATTATAGCTTAATAGAGACATACAGTATTAGATAAAATAAAAAGAAGAGAGTAGTAATATAAAAAATAGAAAAAAAATAGAATAGAAATAATACAAAAAAACAATAATAAGAAAACCATTCCTTAAATTAAAAACTTCTTAATTAGAATATATAATTACTATTGCCTAATTAGGTAAATTCCAATTAACTTACCTAATTCAGTACTTGTTACAAAATAAAATGATTGAGACTATAAAGGGAAAAGTAGTAAGAATTTGTCAAGAGAAATGAACAATGGTAAGGTTTCTAACAGTACTATTTTGGTATCAAGTTGGTACTGGATTTATTATGAGTTTAATATAATGGGTTACAACTTATATATTAAATTTATTATAAGTTAGTATCAAGTTGGTACCATTTTAATTCTTGGTTCAAAATTCTAAACAATGGAAAGAAAAAGAAAGAGTTAATAGAACTCGGCTAATCAAATTACATGCCTTAAGTAGAGAAGCCAAACACTTATCTGACATAATATAAGAAGTGCTCTGAAGAAGTAACAAATTTACCCAGAGAACCATCAACAATACAAAAATTTATTATCAAATAAAAAAATATAAAAATTTATTTTTCAAAAAAATAACAACAAAGGATCTTAAAGAGTTATTTATATTCTTTAAGAACTAACTTAATAAATATTATATATATTACTTGATATTCTTATTACTAATATTGACAAATGTCTTGTTATAATTATTTACAAAAATAATAATACTAATATTATATATATTATATATATTTTCTTATTATCATAAAAGAAAATTTTATTAATAATATGATTTTAAATTAAATACTATTTTCAATTATTTACTAATTGTTTCTTAGTAATATAAATATAATATGGTTTTTAAAAAATTTCTGAATTAAATACAAACACATATATAATATATATTATTACTTCAACCATATATATTTACTTACCAAAGTTTAAAAACCTATCCAAAGCTTGACTTATACCTATCTATCTTTAAGAAAATAATTATAAAAACTTGAAAATTATTTCTGTTTTTTTTTAAAATTTGTAAAAAAAGATTTGACAATTACCATATAGAATTAAAGTTTTTTTTTCTTAACCCTATGCTATTGAAAGTTATTAATTCCTTTTTTAAATACTAATATATCTTTAAACTATTGAATATTGACAGAAAAAGTATTATGAAAGAGCTATTTAAACAAATTTTCAATTATAGATTTCATATCTTATAAAATAAAATTAATAACAATATCAATAAACAAGAAAATATTTTTACTATGAAGTGAAAAACTGAAATTTCAATACTTTCTTTAAATACATTTGTATCAAATAAAAAGCAACAATAGTATGCAACTCAATTATAAAATTGAAATAATATATGCAACTCTTCTTAAACACAGCAACAATTACTCCAGCCTATATACAGCTAACGAAGATTATACAACTTTTTCTAATACAAGAATAATTACTTCAGTCTATAAATATAGTATAAATTATTTGTTATTGACTTAATTTTCAAAATTCTTAAAAATAATTATATTATGTCTTAATTATTTATATATTTTAATAGTGACTTAATTAATTGTATCAAATAATTGTATCAATTGTATCAAAAATCTACAAATTTCAATAACATATATATTTCAGTCTATATATAGCTAATATAGATTATATACTGTCATATATCATTTCTATCTCAGGAGAAAAATAAAGATGAAGAACTAGTAGTAGAGAGGCACTTTAGATGGACAGGACCAATATAATATGTTAAAGTTCCTAAAGGTGTACAAATTAGTACAGTTATGAGGTATATGAGATTAGGCAAAAGAAGTAATGATGATTTGTTTTGTAAAGATCAAGAGATTTATTCAATAAATATATATTGTTACACTTGATTTTTGCCCAAGATCTTCAATACCCCTTGTCTGATTTTCACAAGCATTGACCCTTGAAATGTTAGTTATTCTAGAATAGTCTTGTATTATAGATTTGTTACAATACCTTCGACATCTATTGTATCTATTGTACCTTTACCATTTCTAGAATATTTCTATTTTATTTTATATTTACTTTCTATATTATTTTCATCAAAGTATTTATCTATGTGAATGCTACTATAGTTGAATATTCTGACGAAAATAGTATCTACTGTATACCACTGCATACAATATCCTGGGTATTAATCAATTTACTCCTTATAAATTGATTATT